CCCTCACAGTTTTATTAAAAAATTCAAATAATAGAAATCAATTTAAATCAGATTTAAAGACCCATCTCATAAGTAGTTAACTGGCATATCCATCTTTCTTGACTATTATTAGTATTTTAGTTATTTTATTTTATTTGTGTTATATTTGCTAACCAGGGCATATTTGTTACTTCTTTGGAAGATTTTGTTTATTGTTTTTTTCCCCTACCAATTCATTATTTATATTTCTTATTTTTGTTTGATTAGCAGTATGATTCATTTAATTGTTTCATAACAGGTTAATTAATTATTATATCAACTGGTTGCTTGGTTATTTATTAATGTTTTTTGATAAATAGTTATTGATTAATTGTATTTTTCATCTATTTTGTTTCCTAATATAGATTTAAAATTATAACTAATTTCTGTCTGTCAATGACCTATGCACATAAGTTTACTAGCATGGCAGGGCTGTGGACTAGACTAGTTCAGTAAAACTATTTTCACAGTCCTCATCAGATATTTTATTTTATCTATTTAATTACTTTTCTTTTATTTTATTTTTTTCTGATGAAATAAACATGTACTTTAAGAAATTGAAGCATTTTAATACCTGAGTGCACAAGTATTTGGTTTTTGGTATTGGTCGAACTCAAAACTTACTTATTACAGTGGCGACTTCATTTTCGGTAATTGGTATTTGCGGTGGGATTGGACTTGGGCACTTTTAAGCCTATGTACAATGTATGTGTCAGTTTAGTTTAATAGTAGTTTTACACACAAGTGGTAGACATACTTTACAAGAGTGTCTACTGAGGTGTGCCTGCATCTAGAAGTGGTCACAGGATAAAGCGTGAGTTACTGTGATATTTAGAAATTGGCCAAGTAGAAAAAGACCAAGATGTAAAGCTATGTTCATAGTAGCTGCAACCAGGAGCGAACCCCATCAGAAAACATAATGGTATCTGGTTTGTACAATATGCCATCAACTTTTGAGCACCTAATGGAATCTGTGCTGATGGTTTCACAGGGGTAGATATTCATACTTTATATCGATGACATCATTAGTCTCGACAGCAGTGTATGTGAAGAAATTATAAGATTGATGCATGGCAAGCAACAGTCAATACAAAGTGAAAGCTGTGAAAAAAGGGAAGATGCCAACTAATTTTAAACAGACTCAATTAATTTATATTAGCAGTTTTATCTCAAAATATCCATTGATTGTGTCAGCATTTAAACAATTAGTTTACTGTACCAATATTGGCATCTAAAATAGAGTGTAGTTAGTGACAAAATGACTGCAGCTACAATGTGAAAGAAAAAATATCACCAATGGAAGCAAGAGACTGGGCAAACTAGATATGAACCATAGTGAGGTTCAATATGGATCTCTAGAACATATTTTCATCATTTCCTATATAATCAGCAATTCACAAAATGGACTGGTCATGATGTTTTGAAGTGACTCTTGTTTATATCTCTAGTGGAACAGATCGTGATATCGATCAAAAATTGACAGTTGAACATTAGGCAGGTATGTGCAAATGCATTAAGCAGGAAAAACAGCAATGGGAAATGTTGCAGCAGGATATTTATTATAATGACAAACACTATGACAGAACATAGGCCTTGGCCTGGGGTGGGATGAGCTTGGAGTCAAGTAGACAGATGAAAAGTAATTCGAGAATAATTTGAAAGTGAAAAGCCAGATTATGCCCAAGCTTCCAGAGGTTGCGGTAAACTTTGTGATGTTGTATAGGAATGCATGTAACAAAGAAAACTCTAATGGTGAACCCGAATAACAGGGCGAATATCCCAGTTTGAACACTTAGCCTTACCTGTCAGCCAAATTTTAGACCATGTGACCAACAGTACAAGTATAGGTGTGATGGTGCCTGGGATCACATACTCAGTCATCAAGTTCAGCCACAGTTTTCACATCATTCCGTCAAAGTTCTCAACATTCAGATTCTGTTCTGCAATGATGATGATGATGAGTTTTTAGTTCAATGTTTGCCCCCAAAACAATAAAAATGTATTTCTGTCATGGCATTCCAGGCATTCTTTAGTTGCAAATAAAATCAAGTTTGGCATCATCCAATTCAATCCATTGGTTCTTCCAAAACTACAGCAACATTATCATAATTCTTTTATATTATTTGGAAAAATAAATAAAATAAAATCAGACGACAACTTCAATAAAGATATATTAAAATGGAGGTCTTAGCATATGTAATGCATGGTGTGATGACAATCAAAGTAAGTAGGTGAAACTATATAGAAATCTTTATTACAACAGTTTAAAGATTATCACATTGGTTACAACTGTAATTTGAAAACCAATTGAGCTGTCTTACTTTTTTGGAAAGCAACATATCTTTTCAACAAAAATATCCAAATATATACTGTTTGTGGTATATGTCACATTTTTTTATATGTTTTTCATGTGAATTCTAAATCAAAAACTTTTTGACAAATCTTTGGTGATTTTTTGTGATAGTGTTATGACGTACGTTGTAATTATTTTTTTAAATATGCAGAAAATGCGCTTTTTAAGTCAATATTTTTATATTTTCATACTTTATATATGATATAGGTTGGTACATTGGGTAGACTTCTATCAGGTCTGCTCATTTTTTTACACTATTCTCTATTTTAAGGGAATATTTCAGTATTTCTTCTTGAAAACTACCTGCCCAATGATACTTCATAGGATGGTATATTCGGTGGACTTCTAACTGATTTTTTTATTTTCTACCAGCCTGATTGCTTTAATACTTGTGTTGGACAGCAGAACTATTTTGACTGCCAGGTTGCATGTCCATATAGGTTTGTATGTCTTGGAAATTTCCATTGGTAATGTATGTTTTTATTGTATTTTATTGTTTATTTTTTGCGAGATTATTGTCATATACTATATAGTGCAATACTGTCAACGAACTATATGTATTATTCAGACAATCTTCATATCTTTTTAAATAATGGCCTAAAATTATTTGAAGGAATGAAAAAAAAATAATTCCTCTTGAACTGTTTTTATACCACCATAGCTTTTGTTCTAAATGGGAAAATTCTTTCATATTCAGTGTGTATATAGTTAAGGACATTATCTTTTGAACGGCATCACCCATGACAACTATGCTAAAAATAACCTTTTCCACAATATAATGCCAAGAATAGCAATGACAGTTCTTGACAATACAGTTCATACATTCATTTTCTTGATTAGTTGTTACTAGGTATGTTCCTAGCAACTAATCATAGCATAGCATATTGGCCCAACCCGATCATTGCTGCATGCTGCTATTTTTTATGTATGTCTATTTGGACCCAATTGTTTTTGTTCAAGATGTTTTCAACTATCAACTATATATTTGCACATACGGCCACACTTCCTATAAGAAAAATAAAATAACTTTGAGCAGTCACATGGTTTAGGTACCATTTTGGATATTCTCCAAAAACATTTGAAGGTTATTTAAGGGTCAAAAATGATAACATGTTACTGCACGAGTATATAGAAGTGTATTGTATGCTATATGACTTATCCCTATGAACTGGTGAAAAATATATACAGTCATACATTGGAAACCATTGTCCTGCTCCACAAAGGTTGGATTGTAACATTTTTCACCAAAGTTGTGACACTAGTGTATTTATCTTTCCTTTTCATCATCATCATTACATTAATTTAAATGTATAGAATCGATCTCTGAGGTAATGGTAAAAAACATATGCTTTAAAACTGATATTAATCCTCTCCCTTTCCGTAATCCAAATAAAAATGTATACTATAATAGAGAAATGACATTATTATACAAGATCGATTACTTACAGACCTTTTATAATTTTCTCCTCTGATTAAACATCAATTAACAAATGACATATACAAGAAATTCTAAATTTCAGGATTGTGGTGGCGAGATTAGTTCCAAATCAGCTAATTGTTCGCTTCTGTCCCTTTTTTTAGCATAGGTATAGATAAAGGCACACAAACCTAAAATAAGCCTCGCGTGAATGCTTGCTCCGAAAATAGGATAATTTAATGAAGTAGAGTGACATTAGAAACACGACCCCTCCAGGAACTACAAAAATACAAATTGCTGAAAATACCAAAAATTATAATCATGAGACTACACTTAAGTGATAAACACCGTGAACAAGGGAATTGTTAGGAAAAGATGCAGAATCCAGAAAATAACAATAATGGAGAAATGTGACACAACCTTACTTTGTACAAATGGTCATACAACCCAGCTTATCACAGTAACCAGGTGTGGTAATAGCTACTACTAACGCTTTTAACTAATATATGACAGAATCTTTTATATATGTAATAATGACAGATCGTGCAAAACCATGGTAGAAAATGCATGAATGTGCCCATGTAGAAGATGGCTGAATAAGCGGATGGGAAGAAAAAAACACAATAGGCATGACAGAGGAAGTGTTATAAATTGATGAAGGTACATTGATGCAATGCAAGACATTTCAGCAAGAGATAGGGCGACATGAATTAACTTTGTGTTATATTGAACTCTTGTGTTAGGAACAAAAGTTCCCGTTTAAATGTATTGTGGGAAATTAGTTCTGTGTATTTGAGAATATTAGATGTCTTGTTGTATTTTTCAAATTATTTTTTTATTCATATAGTTTTATGCTTTTTTGTTACTTTATGTCCATGTTCATATTATTTTCATTGAGTCAGTGCAGATGGTTTGAGATGAATCTCCAACGTGTCATATTAGGGAAGAAGACATATAATGTGATGTGCTTCCAATGAAATTATTTTTTTTCTATTTCTCAGTTATGTTTATTATGTGTTTCCTGTTCAGTATTTTTTGTTAAATTTTCTCAAAGTGTATCTGCTTTGTTTGCTGTGTTTGAACGGAATGAATACCTATTTAACATATAATTCAATGCCGACCACGTTTAACTGTGCTTGAGTATGTTAGAATGAGTTATACAATGTTGGTGTTTGGAGTGTAATTTGGCACGAATAAAGTCGTTAATTGGTTAAGTGGGAAATTGGAATTCTAGATTTTGAATGGGTATGTAAAGCTATTAAAATTTAGATTTAAGCTATGAGCTATTGTGTCCTTGGAAATACCTAGAAAATGGACTGAAACTAGTAGATTATACGTATAGCTTCAAAGCGTTGTAGACATTCTGACGACGAGATAAACAGTTCTAGTTCTGATGAAGACGGATTGGTTCTTGCGGTTGATGGTATTTCATAGTCTTTGCGTTTTGTAATTTGTATTTGCAATGGAACAAGGAGTAGTGAACAATCGTTAGACGAGTATCGACTGGGGCGTACCTGGCAATTGCGTCAGAATAACTGAAGGACTGATCAGTTACCTGCTCTAATAAAACAATGACTGTAGGAAGACAACAAGAGAAAAAAAAAGTGTAAAGATTGATTGAGACGCATCCAATGCGTGTTTTCAATCAAACCGGGAACTCACCGAGACGTTCTCATTGCGTCAAAGGGTGGCGCGATGGCCGATCAACAACATATATGTTGTATAGTGGTGAGCAGATTTCGCTTCAGTACACAGTGACAACGTGTGCCCACAGAAAATATCGGACGTGTCAAATCATGGTACGTTATCGACGTGGTGGCATCGATCCAAGTTTACAGGAACAAGTAAAAAGTGGTGCCAGACGAAGATGCACCGTTTTACATAGTAGTGTGCGAATTACGTGGTGTTGTAATTAAGGAGAATCCGTGGACAACGGAATCTCATTTGGAATTTCCAAGGTCTAGGCTGATATATGATGATTTCTATTCAAATAATGGATAAATCCAGTAGATAATCCCATTTCCATGAATTTCGTAAACACATTAATACATCAAGATTCGTTTGTCACGTTGTAATAGAGCTTCGTGATTGTATTTATCACATTCTTGATGTGCATACATTTTGACTTGCGTAAATGTCTAGTTTAACTTGGAGGAATTTTGTTAACATTGTTTATATAATTGTGATCGTTAAATAGTTTCCTAACTAATTTCCAAAATATTGTTTCTGCTTCTCCTTAAAGGCTGGAAATGGAATTCCGCCAGCATCAAATATCGTCCGTGATAAACTGCAGGAGCAGTTGCTAGAAAAACATAAGGAGCTGGAGGCATCAATCGAAAGACAAGAAGACGAACTCCGAAATGTGCAGACTCAGTTGTTATTGGCAAGGAAAATGGCGAAGCAACAGAATTCCTTGATATTACAGTCATATCAAACACAATGGGGGTTCCAACAGGTCTGTCCTTTATTAATTAACTTAGGGATTTGGGGAGGGGGCATGAAAACCCGAAAAACCATGAAAAACAGCTGATATAATCGTCCTTTGAAAGAATACAATATACAATACAACAATTTGAATACAACAGATAAACAAACGAACTGTAAACTGAGCACATCTTGCTCTGCCATTTTCACCAAACCATATTGTCCTGCATTGATTAAACAATAAATAATGCTATAAACAAAAATATGTTATTAATTAATTTATAATAATATTTTTGTTGTACACCCTTTGTTGACGTACTCATGACATATTACCCTTGATCCGACGACGTCGCGCATCCCTTAAGATGGATAACCTCGTAATACAACCCGTAATTATGCGCGATTAATCAGGAATTGTGGTGGATAGTATTGTTTCATTTGTTCTCGTAATCTGTGTTAACAGCACTGGCCGGGTGGGTAATAGCGAAGTGAAAGGCACATATGATATCATGTACAACATGTAACAGTCACAATAAACCAGTAAGATATTATTTGTATACACATTTTTATCATTTTTAGGCAAATTTCAGTATTTGCATTTGTAGTTTGCAATATTTTTTTCGATCTCAATATATTTATGTTTCTTTACTTTCCAAGTAGTTAGTTTTACTAATATCTGATTTATAACCCTTTTCATCCCCTCCTGGGGATGTTATGTGTTAATAAATAAACTTAATATGGTTGAAAAAAATCAGCCAATCCAGAAATTGTATTGTGACATCATCGTCAGTTCTAATTAATATTATTGAGATAGTTCAACATTAACCGATCAGTAAGCGTCTCATTTTGACTTTGTTTTGGTATATGGTTGTCTGTTAAAAAGAAATAATGTATCTGAACAGCAAGAATTCCAGCGTTAACAATCAGAGTGTATTTGAGTGCTAATGCTTACACTCACCTAAGTGATACATATTTTTGGGGGATGTTAATAACAATTTCATGTTTTATAATTTATTAGAATCCTTCATTGTTACCGGTACCACCAAGTTATATGCCCGCAGCGCAGAGTCAGACCAATCTTAGTGTAGTGCATATGAAACCATCCACTCAGTATATAGCTGCGGGTGGTAGACATATTGCAAAGATCGATGTTACAGATGTTGAACAGCATGGTGACTCAATGTGCCGAGAACAGGTATATATTGCAGATACTAGTATGAATAGTATTTGACTTTGGTCGTCGCATCGCATCCTGTCACGTATGAACTCCTTGTCAGAATTAGACGTTAAATCCATCTATTGTCGTCGAGTTATAACTTGTCTCGTGTTTGAAATTCAATATTTAACTATTTTTGTTAACAGATTAGTAATAACCAAATGTTGCGCAAGGTTATGACAACTACTTTCGCGAATGACAATCAGCTGATACAAGGACAACGAGAAACTTCAAGTCCCCAGAGCGAGGAACAGCAAATGGAGATACAGTCAGAGGCCTTAGCGATACAGAATGAACAGTGCCCGATGCTGAAGCATAGGGGGAACACGTTAATGCAGAATGGCCGACAACAAATGGACCTCAATGAGCAAGGCGATATTGCGCAGAATCAAGGAGAAATAACAATGAATGACGATGACACGTACGGCGCCCCTTGTACAACATCAGGCAGACCTCGTAATGACAATGGAAGGTTACAGTTTCAGTTGAACAGAATCAACATCGACAACTTACTTGATTCTCATGAGTGCCAAGGCACATATGTGTCTAAGATCACAGAAAGCTGTACAGGCAAGTAGTGATGTCAGGAAATAAGCATATAGCCAGGATCATGATTTCTACATCGGACAATGTTACATGAAGACGAAATAATATTGTGTATTGATTCTCTACAATCGTTATAGTATAGTACATACAATTTATATGAACATATGTTCTTTTTCGTGCATATATGAGTCTCTTTTCGTAAACATCTATATGCTCTTTTAATTAAATATGCATGATTGGTAAAGATAGCCAGGTGGTTAATATTCCAAAACCGTAATATCAATTTACGGTGCGGTATTGTGGTATAGAGGGTTGAATAATCCAACAATATCTAAAAAAATAAATCTCCGTGCCTCTGAAATCTCTTATCAGTGTTAGAAGCTTAATGTGTAACTACTAATTTGATGAATATGTGGTTGCTTCAGCAAACATATCTACTCGCTTCGTGGGGATGTTCTATGAAATATATTTGATTGACGTTGGACGAAGAAAGTCTATTAATTTTAGTGCCTTATTAATAGAGGAGAGAAAAATACAATTTGAAAATGTGTGATTATGTAATATTGTATTGGTCAAAAATTACAGTGTGCGCCGTATTTAATGCGTAATTTCAGTTCGTTTCCTAAACCATGTTGTAGTCAAGCATTACACCGGACATTTACATAACTAGGCCATGGATTTGATTTGCATACCTATTGCAGCTGTTTCACATAACAAGAGGTCTTGAGTATATAATTAAGTGGCGCAGTAAGTCATCTTGTTCAGGTTATTACTGACTCTCGATGAGATTGTCCGATTTTGCCCCTTTCTTTGTGACAGTCCGCCATTTTGTTTTTACAGAGTAACATCCCTATTAGATCAAATATTGTATAAATAAAGTATAATAGAAAAGCCGTACATTTGACATTAAACTTTGCATTTTGCGACTATGGTGATTATTGAAAATGTCATCTTGTATTATCTTGTAATATAACGGTGAATAAATCGAAAACATAGAAAGAGCAAACAGCGAGAAACGGCCAAACTTGCAGTAGCAAAAAATAACCTGTATCCCAGCTTTCAGATAACATGTAGCAGCATACCCATGTTTAAATTTTTTTAAAGATAGCAGCATATTCATATTCAAATGTTAAAGTTAGCCGCATATTCATATTCAAATGTCAAAGTTAGCAGCATATTCAT